TGGAACCAATCTCAAATCATCGTATTTTAATTAAAAGAGAAGAAGGAGATAGAGCTTCCATGTATAATTTATGTAAACAAAAGCCAAATGTTTGATTCAGACAAAGGATTTACTCAGACATTGTCTGAGTACTTCAAACTATAACTTAAAACAAACTTAAAAGAAAATATTACCTTTAAAGGCTTCTTCAATGCTTCAAACTTGAAAGATATATTTTCTAAATGATGTTTTTACAAGGGAGAGAGAGAATTTCGGGATAAAGGGAGAAGAAATGAGAGAATGCTTGGAGAGAATGATGATGCCCTCCACAAGAACTTCTACATTCTATTTATAGACAAAGTGCCTAACTACTATTCTACAAAAGTTAAAACTACTATTCTACAAAAATTATTAACTTTTGTCATTATTTGACATGGTTTTCTTGATTTGATGAAGGTGGTGGTCTATTTGTACAAAATTTCAAAAGTAGATTCCTACTTTTGTCAAAATTTCAAAAGTAGATTCCTACTTTTGTCACTTCATTCTTTTCTTTTCCTTTGGCTGATTGAGTGATTCTTGGATCTCTTGTAATGATTTTGATGAATTCATCGTGATCGTCATCTTTTCTCGTGACCGAGATTCTCCGCCAATATTGCAAACGAATTTTCTTCATTTGAAGTTATGCTCTTCATCGAAACATCGATTTTTCGAAATATTATCATTGTCGAGATTCTTTAAATTTCTCATGAGATCTGCTTTAACTTCTTTCATATAGGCGAGATATTATTTCTTCCTTATTAATTGCTCCTTCTCAAAGTGAATCCGTTTTGTGATATGTTTAAACGGACTTTCTTCATCTGGATTTGCTTTGAGTATCCTTTGTCTTGAGTATATTCCTTGATTTTAAGGCAATTTCGTCCAAGCAAATCTTGTCCTTCCATTCTTTTTGTATTGTGATTCATCTTTGTTAATTTGTCCCAAAATTTGGTGTAATATGTCTTATAAAGACACGGAATTTGAAATTCATTGAATCCCACCTCGGGACCCATTTATAAATCCAAGGAATTGAGAATTCAATAAAAAGTATAACAGAGTGATTTTTCTGGAGCACGAGATATGATCGTGTTGAAGTTTATCAATGATAGGAGAGGATTTTAACCATTGATAATATAATTTTGAAAAATTATCTGGCAAAATTTTTGCTGTTGGGCCATATAATGCCCACCACTGAATAAACCAGTTGGGTATGGGAGAAGAATATACATGGGAGCATATTTTTATGAACCAAGTATGCTTCTTTCTGGGGTTTTCATAATAAAAAGTTTTGTAAAAACTTTGAATATAATCCCAGTAAGTAAATTTCAAAGGAGGAGAAGTAGGAGTATTACGTACTTCTCTTTCAGAAAGGGTTGAAATTCCCCATTCTTCAAAAGATAAAATCTTTTTGATAATAATTTTGAGAAGTTATAAACTTCATTGTAGTCCGATTAGACTGAAAATGTGTTATTTCACATGTTTGTTTGAGAATATTCTCATAATAATTTCTGGGTTTGTATGACTCACCCGGTATCGTTACTCTTTCTGCTAGATATCTCCGGAATATTACCCATGGATCATCTTTCCACCGAATATCGCGTTTTCAAGAAGGAATATTACCTCCTTTGTGGATCCTTTTTCATATGACCGGATATCATCCTGGTCGGTATCACTTACTTTGGCAGCAAAGGTATCACTTTGTTGCTCTTGGATTTGGTCCATAATCGCTTATATAATGCGAATCCTTCGAATAAAATCCATTATTTGGACCAATTTCGCATTTGATGAGGAGGATTCCTCCGAGATTTTGAAAGATCGCGACTATTAGCTTTTATTCCCATGTTGTATTACGGGGTTTATTGTTCTTCCTCCACGACCTCTATAAGGGCCGCGTCCTCTATCGGGTGGATACATAATCCTGAAAAATTAGAGAATTATTAATGATAATTTGGCTTTACAATAATTCAACTTTTCTTCACTTTCAGTTAATCTTCCAGTGAAGTCTTCTATCATGTCATAGACAAATTCAAGGTCTTCAAACAGATATTATCTGTTGTGGTGAAGTAAATTCATCAAGACAATCAAGAATTGTATTACGAACTCTTAAAAAGTGATTTAGTCTATGCTTCGCAAAAATATATTCCGTTCTATAATGCATATATTCAGCAACAATCTTATTATAAGCAATATGTAGCACGGATAATGGTTTAAGATGATTAACTTGTGGCCACTCCATCCTGCAAATATTCACGTGATAAAAATCGGGTAAAGAATTATCACTACCTTTTTATATAAAATTTCAAAATCAAAAGGGGCTAAATTAGCCTCGCCATCGAGCATATATTTGCTTTGAAGAATCATGCTTATAATCTTTATAAATCATGTGTTTAACAGCAAGTGCATCAAGATGAATTACAAACGACGATTAAATAAATCATCTTGGAATTTTAATACACATTTTACTATAGCAAGAAATTCTTGTGCAACGATTGCATATTTCTTTTGAGGTTACGTCCATTTACCGAATGATATCTAATAAGATATTCATTATTATCATGAGGTTAATCTGTTTCAAGATTCCACCGAATCCTATGCTACTAGCATCAGTTTCTATTATCTTTTTCCAATTTGGATTTGCTAATGTTAAACATGGTAGAGTTTTTACCTTTTCTTTTATTTGCCTAACCAATTGAGTATGCTTTTCTGTCCAATCAAATTTAATTGATTTTTTAAGCAAATCATATAGAATTGCTAAATCTTTCTGTAAATTCTTATAGTATGGTGAAATATAATTCAAACTTCCTAGAAATCTCTGGAGTTGAATTTTCTCAGTAAAAACATCAGGAAATTTAGAAGAAAATTCAATTGATCGTTGAATAGGGGTTATTTTCCCTTGACATATTTGATGACCAAGAAATCTTATATTATGTTGAAACAAAAGCATCTTTGGTTTAGATATTACTAAGCCATTTCGTAAAATAACATCCTTTAATATATTTAGATGTTTAAAATGTTGTTCAATATTATCGAGAAATACTAAGATATCATCAATGTAAACAATTATAAAATCCATATAATGAATAAATATATCATTCATGATTTTCTGAAATTCGAAGGAGCATTTTTAATCCGAATGGCATCACATTCCATTCAAATTGTCCTATAGGCACATTAAAAGCGATTCTATAAGTATGCTCGGATTTATTTGAATTTGCCAATATCCAGATTTTAAATCGAATTTAGAAAATATGTTGGCATTATATAATTTTGATAATAAATCTTTTTATTAGGTATAGGATATCTTATCCATTTTAAAACTTTATTAAGTGGCTTATAGTTTATTACTAATCTTGGGACGCCACGTTCTTTTCATTGCATTATTAACATAAAATGCGATACATGACCAGGAGATTGTGAAGGTTTTATTAAACCCTTTTGAAGCAAAGAATGTAATTCTTCTTTACATAAATTCATATATACGAATTCATTTGACATGGTCTTGCTTTAGTAGGAATATCCTTTTCATTAAAATTATCTTCATAAGGAAGATTAACTAAATGTTTCTTTCTATTCCAAAAGCATTTGGGTGATCAGCACATACCGATTCTTGAAATTGTATTGTAATATGTTTTATTTTTCTTGTAATTTAGTATTACTCAATAATTCAGTATTGATAAATTCATAATTTCATTTTTAATGAAAAATAATTGTTTTTCTTTAGCTTCTATTAATGACCTAATAGACCTTGTTATCGGTCCGAGACAAACTGGAAATTTATTGATTTATCTTTATAGGTTCTGTAAAACCTTGAAAATTAACTTCTTTAAGTGGATATAACATACATAAAAATGGAAGTCCTAATATAATAGGCACTCCTGGCATATTTCTTACTAATAAAAATGTTTGTGGAAGACAAATATTATCTTGACAAACAAAAGCATTAGGCAATTTATATGAAATATCTAATGTATGATTAGATGCGGATTTTAATGCATGCGAGGTTTTTTCAAAATATTGCGTAGGGATTAACCCTTCTTGAACACAAGACAAATCAGCACCACTATCAATCATTGCAACAGTGTTTAAGACAAATTGTCTATCTATCATTAGAGTTAATTTTATATACCATCTTTGAGATGTAATTATTTGTATTGTTTTTAGGAATTCATAATTATGATCTTCAGATATATTTTCAGCTAAATTCTGAAGAGTTTGTGGATCAACTATAGAGGTTTCACCTGATTGTGAGTACTCAATTGTTTTAATCCTTTTTTCTAATAATTCGTAATTTTGTTTCAAATATTTTATTTCATTCTTTATATTATGAACTTCTATTTGTAAGTCTGAAATAGTTATAACTGAAGAAGATGATTCTTCTTTATTTAGTAATTTTTTCATTCTTTTTTCTATTTCCTGCATCGAATAAGGATTATTATTGAAAACTATATCCTTTTTATTAACTTCCTTTTCTTTTTTATTAGACACATCTATCATTTTAATTATTTTATCACGAATATCATGATCTGGTATTTGTTTTAGTAATTCTAAAACATTATCAGTTGTTAACATGTTAAATTGTAAATCTTGAAATTGAGATTTACAGTTATTTACAGTTATTTTATCAGTTATTTTATCATTTAGTAAATCTTGAAACATTATCAGTTATTTTAATTAATAATTTATTCCTTAAATAGATTTCATTAATTAAATTAGTGTACCATATATGGTGAACAATATGCACGATATCAGAACTGTTCGTAGAATCGATTATATCAGCTTTAATCGAACTCAATGATTAAAATGTACTGGCGGTCAACTTTCGGCATGCATCTTTTCATTGAATGGGTTGCTCCTCTTACGTTTTTCTGTTGCAGCATTGAACACGTGATAACAAATAATTATGTCCTTTTATCTCACCCGTCGATGTGCCCTAATAACACTTATAAATAGGGAACCATTTTTCAAGCCAAAACCCACAAACACAACACATAGAATACTTTGAGCAGAAGAAGAGTTAGTTAATTAATTAATGGCGCCTATGGAAGTTGTGGATGTTCTTCACATGAATGGAGGAATTGGCGAGAATAGTTATGGAAGCAACTCCTTGCTCCAGGTAATTAATCATACTTGTTCTGTTCATAAATTATTATCTAGTTTGAATATTTATTTTTAGTTCAAATCATACTAAAACTGAACAATTAAACTGGACAACAATTTCAAAACGGAGTGAAAACTTGATTTTACATTTATTATTTCTATCATCACTCGTTTAGGATACTCGTTGTCTTTCAAAATAATTCTGTAACTCATCGTTCGATTGTTACATTTTATTTACGGTATATTGTTAATTTTTCTTTTTTAACAGAAAAAGGTGATACTTAAAACAAGGCCAATAACAGAAGGAGCCATCACAGATCTCTATAGCAGCATCACTCCCAAAACCATTTGTATTGCTGATTTCGGCTGTTCTTCTGGACCAAACACTTTTCTTGCCATTTCTGAGCTAATCAGATCGGTTGACAACAAACGCAAAAGTTTAGGCCATAAATCTCCAGAATACCAAATATTTTTGAATGATCTACCTTGTAATGATTTTAATACCATTTTCAAGTCCGTTGCTGGCTTTCAAGAAAATCTAACAAATCAAATGGAGATGGGATTTGGACCATGTTTTGTCACAGGAGTTCCTGGTTCGTTTTATGGAAGGCTCTTCCCATCCGAAAGTCTTCATTTCATTCACTCTTCTTATAGTCTTCAATGGCTATCGCAGGTATTATACAACTTATAAAACAAAACGAAAAAAATAACTCTACGATTTGTCTCAAAATGATTATTATGTTTAAATTTACGCTTTTGATATAACTTGTATTGGACATAAAAATCTAAACTAAACAATTATTTCGGAAAAAAGAAGTATTTATCTTCTTCCTCAGGCTTATGCATGAAATTTCGTTTTGATATTTTTCACAGGTACCTGAAATGGAAGAAACTAATAAAGGAAACATTTACATGGCAAGTTCAAGCCCTCCAAGTGTGATAAAGGCATATTTGAAGCAATTTCAAGATGACTTTTCGTCTTTTCTGAGCTATCGAGCCAAGGAATTGGTAACTTGTGGTCGTATGGTTCTCACGATTTTGGGAAGGAAAAATGAAGATCCTTTTAGCAAAGATGGCTGCTACATTTGGGAGCTTTTAGCCGTGGTCCTCAGGGATATGGTTTCAGAGGTATATAATTATTGTTAAATGCATCTCTTTTTCACATAGGGTAAAAGCACGTTTTTCAGCCTAATAAGAATGAACTGAATAATGATAAAGATCGTGAATATGGATAGTGAATCATATATATTATGTGCAATTTAAACTGATGCCATAACAGATAACAATTTTTTGAACCATAACAGATAACGATTATATACAGTTTAAATATGATATTGTGGTCTAAGATTGTAAAAGTTTTACAATATAGGATTACAAATTCAAAGTATATCATACTTTCATGTATATATAAATATTTTGGTTAAAATTACAGGGTATTATTAAAGAAGAAAAACTAGATTCGTTCAACATTCCTCAATACCCACCATCCCCTACGGAAGTGAGATTTCTAGTTGAGTTCCAAGGATCCTTCAAGATTGATCATCTTGAGGCTTCTGAAATCCATTGGAATGCATATGAAGATGACTTTCTGAATAATGATGAATTCAAAGATGGTGCATACAATGTGGCAAGGTGCATGAGAGCTGTGGCTGAGCCAATGCTTGTTAGTCACTTTGGTGAAGAAATAATTGAGGAGGTTTTTTCGAGGTACAAGGAAATTCTAAGCAACCGCATGTCCAAAGAGGAGAAGACACATTTCATTAATGTCACTGTTTCTATGACCAAAAAGGATTTCATTTGATTATCTGTACTGTTATAATTTCCTAAATAATTAAAATTGTAATGTCATATTGGATTGTTGCTAAATTTATAGTATCAATTGCTGTGGAAGCTAGCTAGGGAAAGATCTTGTGAATGAATGGTGTGAAAAAATCCACCCATTTCGTTTTTTATGCAATATATATGAATGTTTATGTTTCTTTTTATCAAGGCCATAATTAATAACTAAGTCACTTTTCTTCGGTTTTTTAAGTTGCTTAATTAGTACATTTTGTTTAAATTAACTATCATATTATAGAAGGCAAAGACTTGTTACTTCTTTTTTCATTTAGTATTTCTTTTTCATGTGCGTGTGTCAACCGCAATTTTTAAGTCCCTAGATCTGAAGGGAGAATATATATATATATATATATATATATATATATATATATTTGATTGTTGAAACGTGTATGAACCAAAGAGAAGAAAACTGTAATCCTCTCTCGGAGTTCAGAAATGTTATTTCAGTAACAAAGTTTGGTTACACGTTTTTAACTAGTATAAAACAATTAATATTCTTTCTGTCCCAAAATAATTCTCGTGTTAGTTGTATTTTTTTGGTAGAGAATGAGTGTGTATTACTATACCTCGCATAGCTAATCTTCCTCATGCGGGCGTCACAGTGAAAACTTAGATCACATTTTGTATCAATCCAGTATGTGTACTTGAGTAATTCGTAAGGACATTCTTTTCTTTGGATAAATTATTTTCATTTTCAACAAAATATGTCGGGTATTGTCCTGGTTTGCGACCAAAAAAATAAAAATAATAAAATTGAGTAATTCGTTTATTCAAGCTTTCACAAAATATCCTTAATTAAAAAAGCAATAGTTTGATCTTGGGTACGCTAATTAACGGCACTAAAATGGGGCACTACTCGTAGAAGTGTAGTCAAAGACCAGATTAATTTCTTGTTGTTTAATTAATTTAGCAAAAGTAATTGAAGTGTAAAGCAATTAATTGGCCGTATATAGAGTACTATTGTTCAACAACACGAGGCAACAATATGTCTATTTAGTTATTAAAAAAAAGGAAGAAGAAACCGTAGTGAGAGTTCAACATATAATGGCCATCATTCATTGTTGTACTTTATAATTAGTTTAATTAGGAATGAGTTAATTTTAACTTATAATTTATTTGATGAAATCGACAACAACTGATCAAATATTGTATTATTGAGCAAAATAGCACAAGAAAAAGAAAAGAAAAAAAAACAGTGAAGTAGTTTTATATTCCTTTTGAACTCGTACTCATCATTTTTGGGTCATCTTCAACAAAAGTAGGCCGCTGTGATGAATTTCTTTAGTTTAGTGTCATATATCATCCTGCGTGCAATTGCAAAGATGGTTTATCATTTTCAGTACTTTGCTTTCATACCCTTTCCTGAGATTGCAATGTTACATTCTGGATAATTTATGTGGTGTTACGTAACTCATACACTGATGTTTGGATTATGTGGTTCTGCATGAGACAAAATTAAGGTTGTTAAAGGTGAAAACTGTACTTTTTACATATATTTTTTTTTTGAAAATGACTTTTTACAAATGTAAACTATCGTGTAAACTATCTCGTCCCAAAAAAAATACTCTATCCCTAGCTAACATAAGTAAGATTTCTGGTTGAGTTTCAAGGATCCTACAAGATTGATCACCTTGAGGCTTCTAAAATCCATTTAAATGCATACGAGGAGGATGACTTTCTGAAGGATGATGAATTCAAAGATAGCGCATACAATGCCCGCAAGGTGCTTGTTAGTCACTTTGGTGAAAAAATAATTGATGAGTTTTTTTTTTCGAGATACAAGGAATTAGTAAGCAGTAAGCAGCCGCATGTCCAAAGAGGAGATGACACATTTCATTAATTTAATTGTCTCTATGATTAAGTAGGAATTAATTTATTTTATCTCGAATGATGTAATTTTCTAAAATAATTTCTAGTTAAATTTCTATGTACTATTTAGTTATCTGGTTTTATGAATTGATACGTGGGAACTTGAAAAATAAGAAATAAAAACGGCGATGTGAGTGCAAAAGTTGTATCGTTGGGGTTAGAATTGAGTCATACTCCCTCCGTCCCATAATTATTGTCCACTTTGCTCAAAAAATTTTGTCCCAAAATTATTGTCCAATTTGACTTTTTATAGATCAAATTACACATTTGTCCTTAGTAAAAAACATTATCCATAAAATTTTAGTGGTTAAACAATTACTTATGTAGGGGTATATCCGGTTGTTTAAGGTAAAATATAGTTAAGTTTGACAAAAAATAAAATCTTTTATTTTAGTAAAACTGGACAATAATTATGGGACGGAGGTAGTATTTGTTTTTTATGCAATGAAGTTCCTTCCACATTGAAATGAATGATTGGGAATCACTGTACTTGAAGATGATTAAGCAACTTTGTGATTCTTTCGCTATTATATAAGGATTTATTTTGATTTTTCTTCTACATTGATCATGAAAGTAGATCAACACTTTTTAATTCTTGGTTTCTTTATTCAACAACTCCCACTAATTTAATGAGAAGGAAAATGATAAAAATAGCGGTAATGTAACAAATTAAATACAAAATAATCAATTTTAATTCTTGGAACTGTGAAATGTATTAATTGGTCTTTTGGTTTTTTCTTTCCCTAGCTAGCAAGCAATCATATTGTGGTACTAAATTTATTTGATGAAATGGACAGCAATAGATTGAATTATAGTTTCTTGAACAAAACAAGACAAGAATGACCATCACTATTGAAATCGTTATTTATTTTGTTTTTATTTTTCTTCTGCACTCACTTATCTATTTAAACAAAATAAATCTTATTTGGGAGATGAAACTGTTCTAATAAATTTTATTTTGATATCCCGTATCATCCTATACGTTGTTCTTGCCCGTTTATGTCGTTTATGCTGATGCAAAGCTCTATACGAGTTACTCGTGGACATCACCTTGAATTAATCATTAGAAATTACAATGTGTATACTTCTTTCATTTGCCAAAAGTTATAGGGTCATTGAAAGTGGTATAACTGTATACTTCTTTTTATCTGCCGTAAAAGTTATCAAATTAACTTGCAACTCATATTGGAGGATGAATCAGAATTTCAAAATACAGAGTTAGGAGTTGGGTTTTTAATATTTCTCCGTTCTAAAAAAATAATTTATTTTTTTTATTTCAATTTATGTGAATTTACCTCCTTTAATTTGAAATGCAAATGGTTAGCATCAAGAGGAGTTGTAAATGAAGAAACCTTGTACACATGTTTGCAATTTAAGAATAGCCATCATTTATCACGAGTGAAATACTCAGAATAAAAGTCATGTTTATTGAATCATTCTAGTACAAAAAATAACATTCTTATATTTGAACGGGTTTCAGTCTCATATCATTAGTGATTTTCTTGAATATATAACAAAAACATACAACTATTTTCAGTCGGAGTTAGAAAGTATGGGTTGGAGTGACTAATATTAACTGCAGGCGTTACATTATAATGATGAATTTATTTTGGTTGTTGTAGTGCAGTAAATATTTTTTGTATTTTTCTCGTACACAGAAATTTGAAGCTGATTATCAAGCGGCTACAAAAGCCAGACTTTGACTGAGATCTCTCTAAAGTCTAAACTGATATAACCGAAATTGTTATAACAAAATAAAGCTCCGAGAAAAAAAAAAAGACATGGACAAGAAATTTCTGGGCTTGATGATTCTTCTCCTATTAGCTCGTCAGTAAATCCCCTCTTTACTTTCTCTCATTCTCTGCAATTATGTTTTTTACACTGAAATAACTCAAGAAATGATCGATGTGACACACATAGTAAAAGAAAAAAATTCTCAATCGCGAATATATGTCGGTTTTTTATTGTATCGCGTTATTTGTTAAAGTTATCTTAGTGCAATAAAATTTTCTTGACCATTTTAGTGTGTATATTTTGTGGATGCAGAAGATCTGTCAATCGGAACAGACGGAAAACTGTGCAGTGTTCTGCAGGGGAGGAGTAGGAATGGTGAAGATTTCCCATGGGAAGCCTGCAAATCACTTTGCGAATACCTCAAATTCGAAGGCGGTGAATTGAAAAGCAAAACTGAATGTTATTGCACTAAGCAGTGCAGTTCTTCAGATGAAACTCCATCCCGGGATTCTGCAAATCCCCCAAATTCTCCTGTTAAAAATTAACTAGCTAGGGTTGCATTATTTGGTCCGTTATTGATAAAAATGGACAAATTGTGTAAACAATAAATGTTCTTTCATTTGAATGACAAATGATACAAAAATTAATATGCATCTTAATCGTAACATATATCATTTCAAAGCCGCGGTTTATCGCTACCAATAAAGTCGAGAAAATCAGCGATGTTTTCCACATTTCTAACAACATTAAGAGATCACTGTACTCCTTAACATGGCCTATTACACGATCCACATTATCATTGCCTAGTGATTTCTTCTTCTCAATCCACATTATCTTCTTGTATGCAGTAGCTAAGAGTCTGCGCTCCTCCGCGGAGAGCTCCTTCCCTTCACTCAATGAGGCGTCGACGATTTTCTCGACGAATTCAATCATCTCTTTGTGTCGCCAGGTCTGGTCCGCAAGCTTCGCCATCAAAACATTCTTCTCGCGGGCCGATAATGCCTCTTTTCCTTGGTTATAATTTTTCTTCTCTTTGATATCCTCGACCAAGTGCTTTTCCATCATTAGTCCCTTGGATTCTTCTTGTTCTGAGGAAATATTCGCTGCCTTATCAACTGTTTTGGTCCTTCCGGCTTCCATTTCGACACTTTTTCTTCAGTGTTTGCTGCCAAATTAGTTTTCCTTGGATCATCTCGGTCATTAACCAGAAACTTGTTTCTTTTTCCTCTTTCAAACTCTCGGTCATTATCCTGCGGCATTTGAAACAAATCAATGGCAATTTTTCATATCTCGGGAGCCCTAATTCTTCTTCCTTATTCGGGCCAACCTCTCTACTAGCTTCCTGATTGGCGTCTTCATGTCCACCATTGCTCTTAACTACCATCGTTAGAATGGGTTATAATAAAGATTTTCGGTAAAGCTTTTTATGTACATACATTTCTCAACAACTTTTAGTATTTTAAGATGTATTTTGATTGTTGGGCTTGCTTTTTAATTTTTGTTTACACCAAAGAAAGGCAAAATGTCTTGAAATTTTAAGTTAGTACAAATTGAAAAAAAGAACACCAATATATGAATTGGTACAACATGAACTGTTCGTGTATCACCATTAATTTTAAATTCTTGAAATCGCTAAGTACGATTCCATCATATCATACGTTAAACACATTTCTGCCACAACAACTCTCAAGAGTTGGATCCCCTAAGAACGCTCACTTGGGCGTTATGTAATCAATCGGGATTATACTTTCTCTTATGTCACAATCTAATAAAGAATATTTGAATTTCCACTCTAAGTTTTTTTTTTCTTGAATAAAATAAAATAAGCATTTCAATGTTAAAATTTTTCTGTCCCCTTTGTAATTCATATTCTGAGAATCCAGACTAAGATGAAAACGGGTAAAGAACATACATGGACACACCATTACAAAATGACAAGGACACAGCTCAAAACAGGGATAAAGTACCATAAAAGGTCTGGAAGTTCCAAAGAACATACTCTCTCTGTTCCCCCTCTCAAAAAAAAGTCCACACCAAATTTTGAGTTTTGTACTGTTTTTAGTACAAATTTAAAAACTCAATGTGAACTATTTTTTTAGGGTGGAAGGTAGTGACTTAAAAGATCAGGTACTGATATCAAGATTCTTCTTCTAGTATTGCTCCCAAATAGAACCGCATGTTACCTATCCCAACAATCTTGTGCTCCACTTGAAGAAGAAACTCGGGATAAAGTCTGAGAGTAACAGAGCTTGCTTTGCCAGAGGAAGAGATTGCTTTGGCAAAAGACTTCAAATAATTAAGGTTAAATTTCAAGGACACTGGCACTTCCATTTCGATGATGGTGTCATGCTCCGCCCGATCTTCGGTTATAAACTCACGAACTACAACATCAACAACTGCTAAAGAGAATTTAGCAACACCATCCTCTGTCACGGATATGACAACCCTGTCATCCATGCCAAAAGGCAAGAAGCAGATTCTACCAAAGTAACTTGAATGCATCCTCACAATTGCACCAGACCCTAGTTCCGGAACCCCTTCAACTACATCGTCATCAAAGTCCAGAACCTTAAAAAAAATCCGAACTCTTTTCTCCGGCAGGTTTTGCAACCTCGAAAGAGACTTTCTTTTCGTCGTCGTCAGCCACCACGGTGATGGTATCAGCATCACCGGAAGTTTCCAAAATCTCAGCCATTTTACAGACATCCATCCTCATGGGAATACTACGGTCACATCTGTAGCTGTCAAAGCTCTCAGATTGAAGAAAAAACCGACACCAGGGCGGCACGGCTGGAATTAATGGCGGTCAAGCTGAATCCATTGGGGGAGAAAACGATTTTCGCAGTGTCGGCCACATTCTTAACAGCATCCACAACTTTATTTGTTGAAGCATTTATCCCAAATTGGTATCTGGAGACACTTTGTATCAGTATATAAGTACCAGGGACTACTCCCCTCATTGCCAATTGGTTTTGAGGTGGAACCCCATGGGCTTCTATATGGTATCAGAGCGGGCTTGGCCTGTGGTGATTTTAAGCCCACGATGTTATTCTGTGGCCCAATTTAAGTCCGCGACATTATTCTGCGGCCCGTGATGTTATTCCACAGTTTATTTCCTGATCCTGATGAGACACTTTGTATCCGTATATAAGCACCATGGGCTACTCTCCTCATTGCCAATTGGTTTTGAGGTGAAACTCCATGGGCTTCTATATTATTCAAGAGACTACCCTTGGCAAACCTCATATTCAACATTTTGCACTACTGGGTTACACAAATTTTAGCTCTTCTCTGGGTTAGGGTTTCTAAGAGCCGGAAACTCACTCTAAGTTTATATAACCATTGAAATTGCTTAGTTCCACCGCCCCTTAACATAATACATTTTGATTTGTCTTAACTTTCACCTAATATGCATTTTTTATTGACAAAAAAATCCTAAAAATGTATTTTTACATTCATTTTATTCTCCTGATTGTTAGGAAATGTTTTAAAAGATTTTTGTCAGCATACTAAATGTAACATATAATAAATCAAAATGCCTTATATTAAGAATCTATATGATGGATTAAGTTACTCAGTTAACGGCCAGAACACCGTTGACTGTTCTTCTCGTCCACCCCAACAACAATTTTGGGCCGCTAGAGATCGAAATGGAGGGCTTTTTCTTTTCCCTTTTCTTTCATTTTTTTTTTCTGCCTTATAATGGGCCTAAATGCTGTATAATGGGCTTTTTCTTTCAGTTTTTTTCAATTGTTCCATTTCCCTATATACACCATTCAATAATTTTATACTCCCTCTGTCCCATAATTATTGTCCACTTTGTCAAAAAAATTTTGTCTCAAACTTATTGTCCGATTTGACTTTCTATAGATTAAATTACACTTTTAACCTTCATTCAACATTAACTATTGACTTGAATCCGGTTATCCACTATTGTATAAACAACGCATGTGGATGTGAACACACAGCAGCAGCGAAGGGACGGCTCAAAAGCGGCGGTGGCTAGCAATCCGTACAAAATGACCATCAATGTTCATACAAAATTTCCATGTCATTGATTTCCTTTCTGAAACTAAATATCGGATTACAACTTAAATTTTTTCTGGCAGTTTCCATATTATAGTTTTCTTTTCGGCTCATTTTTGAGCTTCTTCTAAATGTCAACAGAAGAAATTCCGCCAGATTTCGAATCGTAACTGCCATCAATTGATTCAAACAATATCTGCAGCAAGATATAATAACGGTTTGGAGGAGCATCGAATTGAACTTATAAATTCGATTGGAACAAGCGTTGAAGAACTCCGTCCGAGCCATACCGGCGATGAAGCCTCCAATGAATAAAATTATTTTTCTAAACACCAAATAGAAACTTAGTGTACGAAGATTCTCCTAAAATGAAATTCTTCATCTGAAAGCTTGGATTGATTATAGGCTATAGGCATATGAACGAACTACAAATGAAGGCGATGTTCTTGCAGTTGAATTGGGTTCGTTTTTTATTCCGGTGATAGTGTGAGAAAGAAGTATAGGGAATTTGGGTTATGAATTCATAAAATATTTTCTGGTTAAACAAATTATGTATGCAGGATATATTCGGAAGTTTAAGCTAAAATATTGTCAAGTTTGACTAAAAATAAAATCTACCATCTTAGTTAAACTGGAAAATAATTTTGGGACGGAGGGAGTATAAATTATTATCTTGGTAACATTAATATTTATACTATTTACAATCATTTTCAAATTTATATATTTTATAAAAATAAGAATTTAATTTTTTCGGGTTAGCATCTATTTATTTTAAAAAAGTTTTAAAAAATTCAATAAAAATAGACAAATTTCATTAAAAATAAAACATAGATAAAAAAAAATGAAAATAAGAAAAATGATAAGTATAGTGAAAAATCGTAGTGACTTTAGTGTATGATGTGTAAATGTGTAATTTTTAGTTCGTGTGATGATAATAACTACCTCTAAAAAATTAACTAATAAGTGTTTTATATATCAGTCACTATGATTTTTCACTTTCTCTATCACCACTCTGAAAAATAATCTACATTGAAAATGTGCGTTTATTTATTATATACTCCCTCTGTCCCATTTCAATAGCCTACATTACTATTTTAGGGTGTCCCACTAAATCGGCTGGCTTCCTTATTTAGGATGGATTTTTTAATGAAATTCCAAATATACCTTTAACTTAACCAACCACCTAAGTACTTATTGATTGTATTGGGATTGGTAGAAAGAGTCAAAATTTATTTTTTTCAATGAGTTGAGATGAATTTTTCCAAAGTAATTCTCTTCATTTAAAAGAAAAAATTATCTCTTGTTGTTTAATTCCAACCATTCTCATATCTAATTAAGCTCTAAATATTCACCTAGCTATCATGGATGAAACTCCAACATTCCACCGTGATGGTCCACAATTGAAGGATATTGATCTAAATGTTCCACAGAAGGAAGATGGGGAGATTCAAAACAATGGATAGATTGGTTGAAGACATTTTTTTTTATAGATTTGTCGAATGTGATGCATATACTTCATTGTGCGTAATGTATATATAGAACAAACCAGGTAAATTTTGGAGGGGAAGTTTAAATTTTTAATCAAAATTGAACTTTGAATGATTTTTTCTAATCTAAATTCAAATTCCCTCCCAATTTTTTTTTTACGGATTAAATCAAAGTAGGAATAACAAAGGTTGGCTTTGAATTTTTTGTTTTCCTCCCATTTTTTATAAAGAACAAAAAAATGAAAAGGAATACTAAAGGTTGGCTCTGATTTTTTTTTGTTTCCCTCTCATTTTTTAAGGAACAGAAAATTAATCTGTACATGGCTTAATGGGGTAGATGAAAGGAAAGGAAAAAATGAGTATTTAGACTAGCTGTAACGTTTGAACAAAGTATTAATTGGGGAGTCGGTTTAACAAATTTTAAGAATAGATGAAAGTCTTTCTCTACCAATTTATTAATTTCTCTATAAGAATAGTTTAGGAAGATTAAGGAAAAAATTATTAGTTAAATTAGTTTTATTAATCTGTGTGAAAAATGATATAAGCCTATTAAAATGGGACGGAGGGAGTATGTGTCGATACAAATTGTAAAACTGATAAAAAAAATTAGATTGTATAACAAGGGACGTTAGAAGAAAGCGGCATAGAGGATCCTGTGTCGTAGAAATGTATTGAATCCAACAGTTTATTGTTATCTTTGTTGAAGGTGGGCTTAACTACAATGGAAGAATGGGCCGAGTACTGCTGAATAGTTTCAACTTCTAGTCATGCACGTCTGTAATTTTTCCATTTTCCAATTCCTTCCGGATTAAAAAAGACTTCATTCAATACTAGATGCATATCAAATCACACGGTTATTGAAACTTGAAAGTGTCCAAAATAGTTTATCATCCAAATTACTACCTTATTACTATACACTATATTACACGAATGTGACGCAAAACACGTCACGAAAGATATAAAATGCAGTTCATGATGGGAATGAATTAGATGAAAAAATATATTGGTTTTAACATTACCGTCAGTAAATTTCGTTGGATCATTATAAGATAAACTTAATTAATATGACGATGTAAGATTGTCATACCTTAAGATTGTAGAATTCCCTTCCTTGTAGATCATATTGTAATAATTTAGGCAATTGTATATAAAATTGTAAAAGAAAAAGAAATGTAACGATTCAAAAATATTGACCCCAAAAAAAAAAAAGGGAAATGGGAAATGAAGCTGCCCTGCTTTACTGGCTCACATGCTGCATTTCCCAAATTTGTTTCTCATCTCTCCCTCTCATACAGTGTCAGTCACACGGTACAACCCAGTACCTTGCTGTACTGTGCATTATTCCACCTCCATTTTCTCTTTTTCTTTTTGCCAAAAATTTCATAGCACCATCATATTAATGTAAAAAAAAGATAATTATTTGCATAAAGATCAATTTTAAAATTTCGATTAAAAATGATATCTCATGATTGTAAGTAGCAAACAAATAATTTTCAAGGTCTTGTATCATTTTTGAAATTTGGAAAAAAAAAACTTGAACCATTAACGAAAGGTTGAAAATTTTAATATAGAAAATCTAAGAGCACGTAATTCGACTCATTGATCGTATTTCAATTGGATCATAATCATATTATAGATTTGAAAGTTCCACATTTTGATTAGTATTATTAAAAACTTAATATCAATAAATCTTTTGTATATTTATTTCATTCTTTATTTTAAGATATTTATTATTCTATCGTATTTAGCTCATTTTTTTTAATATTTACGATTTCAATAATAGTATTTACGGTTATAGTTTTGTCAGTTGATTTGGTTCATATCGTTATCCAAACCGCCAAATCACAAATTTTATTCAGGAGGAATTAATTAAATTAAATTACTGAATGATCGACGCCAATTAATTTGCGACAATAATTTTTATTTGTTAGTTTTGTCCTTGTTGTCAAAACGTTACCCTTTTTACTTAATTTTCTTTTTAACTCATTAACAAGTTTTATGATACACTACTAAAAAAATCGTATATTAGTATTTTCCATAAAACGAAAAAGGAAAAGGAAATGATTCTTCAATATTTTCATTTTTCCGTTCTTTCCTTTTTCCAGAAGTGTAACCGTGAACGAATAATTGATTAATAATAAATGAATCCAAAAAAAACTGTCCTGCTGCTTCAGATTCTCTCCATTTTCTTTCCTTCTTGGTGAAATCCCTTCCTCCACAGAGTGTTAAAAAAATCGAGTTTCCCATTTTTGAGATAGGCAAGTTTTTGCTTATTGCTTGACTGGTGGGTTTGTCTCTGTTTGCTTTTCTTAGTGAAATTCTTTTCTTTGATTCTCTGAACTTTTCAGGGTTCACTTCTTGGCAATCCTTTTCAAGATTCCCACAAAAACTCACCTCAAATTTCTTTTAGTTTCTATTTTGCCCTTTTTGTATTTCTCTTGCTTAGCAATTTTTTTTTTCGTACCACCCCCTCACATGCATGTTCTTGGGCTTGTCTGATCTGGATTGGATCACAAAGATCTCTTTTTCCCATTATTTTAATTCGTAAGCAGGGTAAGGAAAGTGGGGTGAAAGGGAGCAAGGCAGGTACTCGGGTACCTTTATTGTTTGAGATTCAAGGGTCTCATCAGAAGAAGGAACAAGAAGGAAGGTGAGATTTCTTGACTCGGTCTTAAGTTTTCGAATTTTTGGGTTAGAACTTAAAAAGGGCTTACTTTACTTGGTGAATTCGATTTGTTTTTATGGGGGATTCTGGCTTGTGGTTTCTGGCAGTTTTGGGGCCGTGAGTTGGTTGATTAGTTCGTTTGGGTATTGGGATTGGCTTGTGGTTTCTGGCAGTTTTGGGGCCGTGAGTTGGTTGATTAGTTCGTTTGGGTATTGGGATTGGCTTGAGAGGAGTTTGGCTTGTTTTTAGGTTGTTTTCTTTTAATGACATCTTGCTTCAATTAGGACAGTCTTGTTTGATAGGTAGGTAGAAAATTCTACTCCTGAGGCATGGCGAACTTTGATGTTTCGAAGTATGCACATAGCCCTGTTCATAAAGCCATAATTTTGAAGGATTATGCCAGTCTCAGGAGTATAATTGCGGGTTTACCTCGGCTCTGCGACCCAGCGGAGGTTCAGACTGAAGCTATTTCTGTTGCTGAGGAAGCCAAGGCTGATGCCATATCTGCTGTGATAGATCGTCGTGATGTTCCTAATCGCGAAACCGCTTTACATTTAGCTGTCAAACTTGGTGATGAGACTGCAACCGAAATGCTTATGTTGGCGGGTGCAGATTGGAGCTTACAAAATGAACAGGGCTGGAGTGCGCTTCAGGAAGCTATTTGCAGTAGGGAGGAAGCGATTGCGAAGAGTATAGTGAGGCATTATCAACCATTGGCTTGGGCAAAATGGTGTAGAAGGTTACCCCGGTTGATTGGGACAATGAGGAGAATGAGGGATTTTTACATGGAAATTAGTTTTAACTTTGAGAGTTCCGTAATTCCTTTCATTTCAAGAATTGCTCCTTCAGACACTTACAAGATTTGGAAGAGGGGTGCCAATTTAAGAGCAGATATGACTTTGGCTGGTTTTGATGGCTTCAGAATTCAGCGTTCAGATCAGAGCATTCTTTTCCTTGGCGATGGCTCAGAAGACGGAAAAGTTCCTAAAGGGTCGCTTTGCATGATCACCCATAAAGATAAAGAAATTATGAATGCTTTGGATGGTGCTGGTGCTCCTGCAACTGAAGCGGAAGTCCAGCAAGAAGTGGCTGCAATGTCGCAGACAAATATTTTCAGGCCTGGGATTGATGTAACTCAGGCAGTTCTTTTACCTCAGCTAACATGGAGGCGGCAGGAGAGGACGGAAACTGTAGGCTCTTGGAAAGCCAAGGTGTATGATATGCACAATGTGGTTGTCAGCATTAAATCAAGGAGAGTCCCAGGAGCCATGACTGATGATGAATTTTTTAATTCTTGTAATGAAAATGAAACAGAAAGCGAGGAGCTTGATGATATTCTGACAGAGGATGAAAGAAAGCAACTTGAGGCTGCCCTCAAGATGGATACATCTGACTCAAACACTGAGAATGGGGATGGGATTATTGCTCACCGCCATAGTTGTTATGAGCCTAGAGATATACCCATTGAGGATGCTAATGGTTATACTAATGGAGATAGGAAGCAAGAAAAAAAAGGATGGTTTAGTGGCTGGAGGAGGAGGGACAATAAAAGTGAAGCTGATAAAAAGCTTACGCCACCTAGAAGTTCCCTATATGTGGATGAGAAAGTTAGTGATCTTCTTGGAGATTCTCCATCCGGAAGTCAGATTAAACCTGGGAGGCATTCAGTTGAGATTGCTGTTAAGAGAGATGAATATAATGAACACCGCAGAGCTAGAGAAAACAAAGCATCTTCATCCAATAGTTCGGAAAGTAATAGTCGCCGTAAAGATGCAAGCCGTGAGAATGAGTATAAGAAAGGTTTGAGGCCTGTTCTCTGGCTGTCCCCAGACTTTCCATTGCAAACTGAAGAGCTTCTCCCATTGCTTGACATTTTAGCAAACAAAGTTAAAGCCATACGGAGATTAAGAGAACTATTGACCACGAAACTGCCAAAGGGAACATTTCCTGTTAAGGTATGTAACACTGCTGCTTGTGCAGTTTCATTGATTCATTTGGACTTATTTTTTGTGGTTTTAATATTAGAATCTGTTACATTATTCTTGGTTCAATTTGTTTCTAATCTTATTATCAATGTAGTTTGTTGTTTTATGTTATGTTACTCAAAGAACTTGTCAGAGTTCATGTATGCGCCTGACATTTAGATTTGCAAAGCTTCTGTCTAAGAGTAGGTAGTAATTGTCTGCTGAGTTGATGTGCAATATGTTGTTCTTCTGTGTTGCTCTTTTATTTGTTTATATTATACATTATTGTCAAACTTTAAAATCCAATTGTACCTCTACTTTAATATGTACAAGTCTACATTAGTATAGCATGAGGTATCATACTTGCCATTTAGATATCTGTTAATTCTCTACTGTGGCTTTACGTGTTATGCCTGTGAAGCCGAATCTACTATGTAAAATGCTTAAAGCTTCTTCGAGGTGAACATGGCAACAATTGGGCAATGTCTGTCTAATTGGTGTCAGAAAGTTCTACATTTGAACGAATTATGATATATGCTATACAGATGGGCTCCTAATAAACCTTCTTCCTTGTGCTAATGTCAGTTTCAACTGCTATTTCTGAAAATATTATGGGCTGTAATGTGAAAACTGAAACTACTTTGTTTTAGAATAAAGTCTACTCTTGGTTTTTATTATTTTATCTTATTATTACTGTAACCATGTTCATGCATATATTCAGTAATGACAAGAGCCCTGTGCCGTTGTGCTTTTCTTTTCATTTTACCTTTACCTGTAAATCTTGAATTTATCTGTGTTCACATGTAGTCCTTGGTTGAATCCATATATTTGTGATGCTAAGTGATCAAACCGAGGAGCTATTCCTGAATACTGCTGTGCACTCTGATTAATATAACATGATTAAGAAGAACCGAGCGATGTATTTATTTTGTGATTCCCTGGTGGAGTTATCTCTTATAGTTTCAACATTGATACGGAAAATATTCCAGTATCCCTCTAAGATATGCTTACAGGGAATACCGAGAGACCAAAGATTTGCACTAGTGCAATCTGAAGCCAGGGCAAGAGATAAACCACCATTTGTTGTGTGTGTATATTAGGTTTTTAGTCTTTCCTTACGTGAATGTTGAGAGCTTGATCATTGAAGAAACTGAGAGTAGCTATATTCAACTGAGGAGTAGTTCTTATACTATAGAGTGCCAGAGGCACTTTTGGGCAATTTTCAGTCTTAAATATGTTCAGAGTAGCTTTTGTTTCCAGATAAACTGTAGAGACAAAAGGGGGTAGATCAGAGTTCCAGTGAGGAAAAATGAACATTTAGCTGCAGTACTATTATGGAACTCAAGTCAGATGTTGCACACTAGTAGCTTGATTTTGCCGGGAAAGAGTTTTTAACATCAAGTTCTACATATTTTCCATTTGGAAATGGAGATGCTTGAAGTCATACTCTTAAATTATTTCTTATTGTGATATAGGAAAGGTATACACTTATTGTGCTTGATAAGAGATATGGCCCTCTTCTTGATCCATAAAGAAAGTCAAAAGTCATTAGTCATGCATGTTTTTCCTAATGGTTCTGAATTATCTATAACTTATTAAATTGTGTGTGTTTGTTGTTAGGCATGTATAAGTTAAAAGGACCTGGATCTTTGGTTGCTAGTCCTGGGTATATTCAGATTAAAAATTTAATGCTTGCAGGCTTCCAGAACTGATTCAAATGGCGGTATGCCATTCCTAAATGTTTGTGTTGAATAGTTGGCCCATTCAGATATCTTAAAATCCTGCTTCACCTTGAGAAGGATAACTCTAATAATCTAGACAGCACCCTATCATGTAGTTAATGAATGCTTACTAATAGTGTTAAAGCAAATATATCCGGTCCAAGTTTATATCAAGCATTTTCCTAGAAAATTACTAATTTGGCTTCAGTTGTGAGAAATTTTGCAAATAGCTCGTACTGAAACTTCTAGAGTTGCTTCATTGCTTCCTGTCGCATGCTGTTTTTGTAATAATCTTTGTAAAAATTGTTTACAACTTAACATAAGAAGAGTGAGATTTGGAATCATCGAGATATTGTTTTCTCTACCATGTAGTCATGAAGAATTTTATTTTTAAGGGAGCAATCTTACCCATAAATATAAAAGACACTCCTGAAGTCAATTCAATCCAGGATTGTAAATGGCTGAAGATAATACAAAGAGTCATTCTTTTCTTTGTCCCCTTCTATTTTCATTTGCATTTCGAGTCAACAAAGAAAAGCTTTCTACTAGTCATTTTTGCAGCTGGCTGAATGTATCTTAGTATCTTACCAAACCTTCTATGCAGGGGATGGATCAATATTTATTACTTTTTTCTCACCTCTCTTTCCTGTTGCCTTTTTCATTTAAAATCTGAAGTTGGCATGTTGTAATTTGAATAAAAGTGGAAACTTGTTAAAAATTCTTTCAAATGTTTGAAGAGCGAGAGCAAAGGGTAAAATCTTTGTTGTATGGACTGGCAAAGAAAAAGGAGGAACTGTTTTACCCTTTAGTTGCATTGACAAAGAGAGGAGGAACTGTAGTTATTGTTTGCTGGGCCGCTGTATGTTTTATATATGATGATGTCACTACATAATTACAAAGATCCTCAGATCTATAGCTCTGGCTGATGGCGTTTTACATGATTACTAGTCTACTTGATAACTTTGTGCTTCTTTTTTTGGTGTGCCCGTGGGCATGCATGCCTTTTGATTTCTTAGCTGCGTTTTGATTTCTTAACTGCCTTTATGAATAATCATAGTATATAAGGTTTCTTTCGTCGGCCTGCACTGAGAACCATTTTCTTTCAGGTTGCTATCCCAGTGGTTCCAACAATCCGAGTACTGGTTACTTTTACAAAGTTTGAAGAGTTGCAGCCTCTGGATGAGTTTTCCACTCCTCCGTCAAGCCCTACATCAGGTCGTGAGAGCCCAGCTGTAATGCAGTCCTCTAGTTCTTCCTCGTCCTGGTTTCAATGGATAAAAACCCCTTACAGCCGCCCGAGTTCTTCCACAGGGGGTTCAAATAGTCGGATAGAGAATGTCCAAGATCCGTTTGCACTTCCTGCAGATTACAAATGGATCACTGCTGAAGAGAAAAAGAAGAGAATGCAAGAAAAGAGCAAACTGAAAAAGGGGAAAAATCAGAAATAGGATTTCCATGCTCTGTGATTGTGAATCAGTGATCCTTTGGTGACTAATTCTTTGAGAGAGTTCCAAGTGCCATAATGTTTCACCTATCTCATTTGTTTTTCACTTCTCCTTATGTTAACACTTGGTAGTGAAGAATTGAAAATCCAGTTAAAATCGGTGTGGGTTACAAAAAGAATGAAAATTGTTATTATTCTTGGTTCTTTTCTTCTACATATTGAGACATTTTGTCCCATTTTTCTCTAGAAAAGAGGTCCATGTTCAGAATGGGTGACCGTGGACACTAGTTCAACGACACACCACTCAATTTTTTTTAACTAAAAGAAAAGGTAATGTTTATACTTTATACATTGTTTGAGGAATTTTTGGCCATTTTTGGGGTTCTCACCAGGCTAAAGGTGAATTATCTTTTACCTATTATCTTCTAATTAATTTTTTTTAAAATAAATATGATTATGTGCTGTAAAATTAGAGACACACGATTTTTAATTAGTCGAGGCGTTTTTTTTTTTAAAAAAAAATAGTAAGTGAGATGTGGCCAGAACAAATTAAAATTTTGAGAAAAAGATGAATATGAAAGTTTTTTTTAACTTGACAAGGATTTCGTATCAATTTTTGTGTAACATATCTATAAACTACCTAGACAATGAGATTGACACATACTCCATCCGATTTTTGTGTGACATATCTATAAACTACCTAGAAAATGAGATTGACATATACTCCATTAAAAATTAAATTGGACAATTAAATTATTCTAAAAGCGAAAAATTAAATTGGACAATAATCTTACTAAAGTATTTTTTTTCACAAGACACGTGTAAGTCAATTAGACCATTAATAATTTTTGTGTACACGTGTCATCTTCTAATTCGTGGAGAAATTTTTATAGTACACATGTCATCTTTTAATTCGTGGATTTTTTTACTCCACCTTATATATATGTAATTTATAAAAGTAAAATGGTAATCTCAAGGTAATCTCCGGCTAATATCCGGACACGATGACTGAATTTATCCGGGCATGGCATTGAAGACTTTGATGGCATTGATAGATAATCTCCGGATAATCTCTAGCTAATCTCCGGATAACAAGGGTTAAGGATGAAAACTTTTGAAAAATTTTCTTCGTGTTGATGCCGAGTTCTTCGAGGAGCGGTGCTTTGTCTTCGAATCTGATTCCTCCACCGCTGATTGTGTCCGGGCGAACTGAAAAGGTAGCGTTCTCTTTGACGGGGTGATTCCGGTTGGTATCCCAATCCCAATGCATTTAAATCTTCATCCTTGTGAATGCAGGTCCTCAGGCCAAAGGTAGAAAAGATGGAAGAAAGGTCCGCGGCTTTTCATTGAAGCCTGTTTTTTTTATGTTTCACACTCTAGTAGTCGGCGGCTTGAAAAGAAGAAAGGGCAACCCTAATAGTGTTTTTTTTTTATTTGCAATGGTAACTTTTATAAATTAGTAAAACTGCAAAAGGATAATGATTCACAATGATTTTAATCCTTGTGATTAAAATACACATTGGTTTTGATAAATTTAAAATTTTTTGGCCCAAAAGATGACTACAAATAAATTTTGAATAGAAATCATGTAAATATTATTTTCATCGGATATTCATTTCACGTGCAAAATCTTCCCCACTTTTTCTCACTAAATCACCACAAAAAAGAAAAAAAAAATCAATAAAAGTTATTATCACATTTAATTGCTGACTAAAAGTTAATCCTAATCCATCAATCATGCGCCGCTCCTCTATCCTAAAACCCTAATTGAATGAATTATGAACACTATAAATCCATCTCATTTTCGGCCAAAGAAAACAAACAAGCCGCTCAAATGCTTCCTTTTATCTCGCACGGATTTCTGCCAAATAATCTTCACTATGTTTGCCGCCTATTGTCATTCGCCTTCGCATTTACCCCTAGAGTGAGTGGTTGAATTATTTATTTAATTTTCTAATTTCACCCGTTGATTTATTGGAGCTTTTCATGTATTTTAATTTTTTGTTTTTCATTTTGTGGTGATCATGGCAGAAATCTATTGATGAATTTGATCATTTTCTAAGGTGGTTGCTGGTGCAGATGGTAGAGATTTTAATGGTGAGTATCGTGTTGATGTTGTTAAACCCTAATGATAACGTTGATGCTGCGAAGCAAAGGAGAGAATGGTACCGGGACCTCCTCCATGAAGTATCGAGTTTTTCCTCTAACCCGTCTCACTTTTGGATTAGCCAAAAATTTTGGAAAATGATGGACACATATCCTCTCTACATTTCCTTACAGACGACAAATTTGAGACACTTTGGTTTCTTCTTTTTTAATTCCTTCGTCAATTTTGCATTTTGCAATATCATTATTCATTTTAGTTTTTCTCAATTTGTTTCGGGATTTATGGATGCAATGAAAGTGTGTTGGTTTGTTATGCAATTTTTTCTTTTTAATCTGACCAAAACAACCTTGCATGTTGGCAGTCTTTTCATAGTTAATGTTTAAGAGGAAGAGGGCAGTTTGGTTAATGTTTACGGGGAGAACGAGAGACCTAAATCTGGAGGCGGGTATCAAAGGTTTAGGAGGATTGGTAGCGAGCTAGAGCATGTGGATTTTATGATCATTCTGGTTCAAGCAGTGGTCACCCCAATTCCACTGGATAAAAGTATATATTCACCTATTGATTGTTTTAATCATCTTTTTTTTTTTGTTTCAATCGTTCTTTTGTTTTCCCCTTACTAATTGAGCACAATGGTTCCTGGTGATCAGATCTGTTTTGGTGCAACCATGTTCAATTCAAGATCATTCCTTCCCCTGTGAAATTGGTGTCCCTTATGCTTTGTGTTTATGTTTCAATTTGGTAGTAGAATATTCTTCATTTTTTTCTAGAATTTAAAGTTCACTTGTGATATTCTACTTTTTCTCCTGTTGTTCTCTGCTTGGAGCATAGGTTTGATTGTTGCCGCCTTTGCACCTTAGAGTCCATGTTGATTTGATAATTAATTTTCTGTATCTTATTTATATCTACAACAATATTCAAACACTGGCACTAGGGTTCAGGTACCATTTTGGAGAGCAATTTAATTAACACAATATTTGATGTACCATTTGAAAATGTCTTTCGGTGGTTTATATTGGAAAAACTTACTGGTGCTTTATATTGGAAAAATATCTTTTGATGCTTTATATTTTTAGTACTTTTGATCTGGTCGGGCTAAAAGTATTGTCTATTGTTTCTATAGATTCTTTATATTTCGAGAGGAAAAGAATACCTGGATGCCTTGTAGTTAGTGAATGTCTGAGTTCATTAAACATTACTGCATCTAGAGGGATGATTCTTTGCGGAGAAGGTTTTTTGGAATTTTACATGGATCAAATGGTATGGACATATGGTTGGAACGCCACTTATTTTCACTAATTCCATTGTAGAAATGTGTCATGAAAACTAACTCGAAGGTCACATAGAAATGTTTCAATTATATTGTACAATTTTTTCTTATAGATCTTTCGGTGGTTTAGACGGATTTTTTTGCTTCTTTCGTTCTTTTTTTTTTGGTTTTTTTTTTTCCGTACATATCCTGACATCCATGTGATAATAATGATATTGTGAGGAATATGAATCCATTGTTATTAGCCAGGCAGTTTAGATTTGTATAGTGATGGAAAGGAAGAATCGATTACTCAAAAAATAGTTTATATTTTTAGTATAAATTTTAAATTCAAAGTAAACTTTTTTTTTTGGGTGACAAAGGAAGTATTATTTATGAGAAATGATAAATTTCTGTTAGCTGGGTTCTTTGCAAGGGATAACCAGACCAAAATGAGCCATATTGACGTTATGTCATGAAAATCGCTTAATATTATATCTTGACATAAATTTCAAACATTTACGGAGGGTCCGTCATCCTAGGCATCTATTTCATTTCCATCAAATTGAGTAATACCATACTTAAGGATGTTTTAGTTAAGAAGAAACTGAAATCTATTATGCAGTATAAAGTAGACCGAATTGATGGCTTCAATATATTGAAAAGAAAGCCTTGTCAAGATCAATAAAATTAAAAGTCTTCCAAATGTCATAAGTTAATTAAGAATGCATCTTGAATTTTGTAAAAATATGAGATATGCTTTTTATTGCTCTCGAATCATTTCATTTGTCATTTGTGTCATTTTGATGCCCTTTGAATATCTTTCATAATCTACTCCTAATCCAGGAAAAAAGTTTTTTTTTTTGTTAAACTATTTTAATACCATAATTTCTTATGGACGGAAGTAGTTGTTCAAATTTGTGGTGAATACATTTTACCAATTGAAATTTTAACTACTCTCATAGTGCAAACCAAAATTATCTCAATTAATTACTTATTTTGTAATTTGGAGAAAATATTGAACGCATAAAGTATTTATCTTGATTTATGTAATAAATCATACTATATATTAAGGAAATTTTTTTTTTCACTAGACACATGTAACTTAATTAGGTCATTGAGAATTTTCAATTACACATATCACATTCTCATTCATAGAGAATTTTATGTAATTCATATGTCATCTTCTAATTCGTGGATTTTTTTACTGGGTATTTTATACTGGTTATTTTAAACACTGTAAAATAGTTATTTTCTAAAAGAAATAACTTTCTTCGAAGATCGTTGATTGACGCCAACAATCTCCAAAACATCAAATTGACCGGAATGAAATGATTATCCTTTTCCCGAATCTTCGTACAATTATCCTTCCTTTGGAGTCCTCACCGAGAAGGCATTGATGTTGTTCTTCCTTAACCCGATAACCCATGGAGCCGGAGACGAGACTATTGTTTGGATTCTGATAAGCCATTGAAGCTGTTATTCCCTGACCCGATAAGCCGTGACGTTGGAGACAAGACTATTGTTCAGATTTCGATACTGGCAAAAATGATTATAGTCATGATGGCTTCGATTAAGCACGTCCAAATCCTTCACCGACTGACTGTATTCTCCTTCATCGGCTGACTGTATCTTGCGAATCTCTGGGTGTAGATGATGAATCGCACTCCTTCGAAATTCCATCATTCCATCAACGGCGGCCAAAATTTCCGCAAATTTTCAATTTCACATGCGGCCAAGATTGTAGAAACGATAATACCAAATTATTTCCAAATTTATATTTCATTTAGGCTGCTGTGTGAATTAATTCATGATCCTTTGCTCATCGAATCGCGGAGGGCTGATATGTACTGTTGTTACCGTGAAAAGGAACTTTTAAAAATTAATTCAGTCCTCTGTGAAATCGGCGATGAAAATGGAGATTATATTCCCATATTTTGCGTTATTGAATTAACGAAATCTTAGGATAGATTACGTTTAATTTTAGAACTCTCTCCATCCCCTCTTTTTTTTTTTTTTCTATAACTACTCTCACATTCCC